CCCCCTCCCACTAGCTAAAAATGTGACAACATATCTAACTGACAAAAAGTACCAAACCTCCTATCAGAAAAACAATACTTTATTCTCCGAAATTTCTGGATAATTATTTTTTCCTGATATGTTGACGCATTTTTTTCCCTGAGTCTCGGTGGTGGACATTCTTTTTTTGTTGTTGCAAAATCACATCTGTGCGTAGCTTCTTCGTTTTAACTGAGAGCCAGAAAATTCACTGCGTTCATCTGTTTGGTGCTGTAGCTTTGTATCCCATGCTGACAAGATGCACCACAATCTAAAATGGATACGCTTGACGAAGCTTGATCAAAAAGTTTCCATCGTTGAACGGCACTTTTGATCTTCCAAAATCCGTCGTATTCAGTGCCATCCGTGCTTCTTCTGTAAGTTGTCCCCACATAATGAGGTCTTGGTAGTCACCGTCGGTTTGCGCCAAATTTAGGAATGCCGATCTAAAGTCCTTACGTACAGTATGCTCAACTCTTAGAGAAGTGCTTGAGCCGGGTATGTCACGATCTCGGCGTCTGCTCCTCGCCACGTAGCCAGAAAAATTCCAATCATAAATGTTCCCTGTGTATCTCAAATAGCCGTTTGCAGAGTTGGACAGCGATACACCAAGAATCTCGGGTATCTCCAAGGACGGATTTTCAATCCAAACAACCATGCTCGCCCAATCGTGACGTCTTGAGGTGATGGCTGCCATGTAGCTCTTTGGAATATACCAAGCGAACATCATAGCCCACTTATCTTGATACCACGTAGATCGTCCGTACACTTGTGAGCCTAGAGGTGCTTTACTGCAGCCCTCGCCACCTTGCGTTCCATTTAACCCCCCGGTAGTATCCCCAGCTGCATTCACAGCAGGAAACGATACGCACCCATCTAAAATAAATAGCTGAGGCTTGAACTTGATCGCAGCCTTTTCCGATATCGTGACAGGTCCCGGTTGAGCGAAAGGCTGTACTAGATCACGGTTAATCGTTGCACAGTACACAGATTGTAGTGCTACTAAACACACCACGATGGCGGCAAAGAAGTTCATTTCTTCAGCAGCCGTCGAAACAATAAGTTGTGTAGAAAGCAAGTCCAATTTGGACTGTCGAGATAATTGTTTCGATGCGGCAGAATTGATAATGAACAGAAAAACATATAGGTTTAATCTCCCGTAGAGTACTTCCATGTTTGCATAGATGATTAGTTCATAGTGTCATCGTTGCGAGACGATCGCTCACGCCGTGATTGCAAACGGTACGAATCCTTTACTCGGGAGGGACAAACACCTTACTGTTAATACAGGAACGACTCAACTACATGACTATAAAAAGGCCAATGATACAGCCCAAAGTTTCAAAGGGTTTTTTAGACTACAGTATTTTCTGAAAACAAGTTACCAATAATCTGCAAAACATGTAATTTTAGAAACCATGTTGGGGCCATGGTTCCTTGTTTTGATATTGGGACGGGTGTCTTGACACGCAAATCCACTGCAAATCACACGGGCTAATGTAATTTGCAGCTAGCTAATGTTGCTTTGTAGCCACTTAAAGCCCTTAGAGTACATGCTTCTATTAGCAACCGCGTTTGGCAAAGTCCTGATATGAGTATTCCAGCCTAAAGTTCGCATGACCTAGTCCTGACCTCCACGGGTGATGCCACAGAAATTCTTGAAAATAAAAACCTCATTATTTTTAACGGAAAGTAGAGCCCATGTTATCGAAATGGTGGGTGTGAAACATCACACAAATCTCCCAGGAGTGCTCAAACCAAATCGACACTAGCAGCTATTAGCTGCTAGTGTCGATTAGCTGCCAGCTATTGAGAGTCATCGACAGCCCGGAGACTTAACCCTAGATCCCGCTTGAACCTATCTTTCACTGCTTGCTCTGGGCCAGTATACATATAACCATGGAAAAACGCCAGCACTGACCAGTATACTCCACAGTGCACTTTTAATATGTACATGTAATACGTCATAGCTGTACGCCGCGAGTTATTACAAAGTGTGCTTGAGCGCTGGATACTTCTTTCATTTAAGTGAATTTACCGTGTAGACTTCAATAGTTCATCATTCCTACATTTACAATACGGGGCTTGAGCTGGATGTCTGACCAACATTCAACCACATTATGGCCTACTTCTAGTGCTTTACGGTTCATATCCCCCTTAAAACGTACTTGAAGTAGTTTTTTTTTCTTCAGATTTCGTCTTTGACTACTTCAATCAGATCGGACAAAAGTTTGATTGCTTTTACAATCGGACCAGATTAATTGATTTGTCGCATGACGTTTT